TGGCCATTCAGCTCTTTATTAAACCAATCAGTAGATGCCTTAGGCAGGTGAGGAAGGACAGAGGGACATTTTCACACACTGAACAAAAAGATTATCCCAACAGTTCACTCTTTTTATTAACTTCTTTAACTTTATTAATGTCTTCTTTTCTGGGTTGTCAAATCCATCAAGACCAAGACTAGTCTTTCTATTGTCTACTTGTGTATCCAAAGACTTAGAATAGGGACTATTCTATAGTCAGATCTCAACTGGTATTGTTGATTGATTCATTTCACTTTTGCGGCACTGGGGATGAACCCAGGACCTCAGACATGCAAGGCAAGTGCTCTATCACTAAGCTATAAGCCCAGCCCTGCCCCCCACCAAAAATTAATGAAACAAAGTTGGAAGAGGTTTTTAACTTAGACAGAAGCACAGGGATTAATAGAGGTTTTTATTTTGGATTTATTTAGTTTAATTTTTGGTCTTTCAAAGTAGGTTTTGATTTGGACCACGTTGGTCCAACTCCTAATTCTCTTGGTGCCAATCTCCGGTAACTCTCCATGCCCCACTGTAACAGGCTTTCTTTGGGCCCACGAACCAGCTCCCAAATCAGGACATTTAATATTAGTTATGAATGCTCAGCTTATGCTTGTCTCACTAGCTCTTATAACTTAATTTAACCTGTTTCTCTTCATCTAAATTTTGCCTCGGGACTTTTTACCTTTCTTTCATTCTGTATGTCCTACTCTGTGTCTGCTGGCTGGTGGCTGCCTGGCTGGCCCTGGGTATCCTTTCTTTCTCCCTCATTCTCTCTTCTCTCTACTCCTTTGCCTAGATTCCTCCTATTTATTCTCTCTGCATGGCATTCCTGCTTATCTCTCTCCTGCCTACTTATTAGCCATTCAGCATTTTTAGACCAATCAGGTGCCTTAGGCAGGCAAAGTGAAACAGCAACACATCTTTACATAATTAAACAAATGCAGTCACAAACAAATGTAACACATCTTTACATAGTTAAACAAATGTAGCATAAACAAATGTAACATACCTTTACATAGTTAAAGTAATATTCTACAACAGCCTATCATATCCCAATCCTTAACAAAGGTAATTGTTTTTGTTTTCTTTGGAATATAACATTCACCTGGCTTTACGCTGTCTACTTAAACGTGTATGTGTATAGGTGTTTTGTCTGCATGTATATTAATCAGCATACCACTTGGCACCTGCCAAGAGTAGCATAGGGCACCAGATGCCATGGAAGTGGAGTTAGTGATTATGAGCTGCCATGTGGGTGGTTGAAATTAAACCCAGGTCCTTTGAAAGAGCAACCATTGCTCTTAACTGCTGAGCCAGCTCTCTAGTCCCTACACTATCTTGCCCAGCTTGTACTGTATAGGATAGGAGGGAACTTAGACATAGGCCACCTGACCTTAAAGGCTACATTCTATGAAGCACTCTACTCCTTGGAGTTGCCAGAGGTCTGGGATGTATGTTTTGAATACTTTACCAAGTGTTTTGGCCTCCCTCTGGCCCATGCAGAAAATGAGTTTTCTAAACATCAACCAGCCCTACCCCATCCCTAGACTCATAACAACTTTTGAAACTGATCATATTACAGCTGCTAAATTCTTCCAGACATAAAATAGCCAGTAGCTGTTGTCCATTCTGCACCTGTGCCAAGTCGCTAGCATGCAGGTCTCAGGACAATTTATAAGAGCCAGTTCTCACCTTCCACCATGTGGCTTTCAGGGATCTCACTCACATTTGGGCTGTAAGGCTTGGGGGTAACTGCCTTAACTCTCTGAGCCATGTCACCAGCCAGGTCTACTAATGAGATAGTTTACATGAATTTCACCTGAGTCAAAACACCTCAGAAAACAACTCTGGTTGCAGTTATTTGGGGTGGTATGTGAAAGTCTTTAAGAAAGAGATGTCAGGCTATGGTAATAGCTCTCACTTGTAGTCCCAGTACTCTACAGGCTGAGGTAGAGTGTTAGAGGCCTGTGTTTGCTAGTTCCAGCCTCAGGAAAAAAAGAAAAAAAAGCACATGTTGATACAGAAAGGAAGGGGACTCTAGCAGTACTGGATTGGGACATTTCCTACAAATATTCTTTAATGGTGCCCACACCATCCGGGAATGATACTGTAAGAGTGTGAGCTTTAGAAAGAACTAGACAAAGATGCTTCGTGAATCAAAATTTATTAGCTTAGTGCTGCTTTAAAAAACAAAAAACAAAAACAAAAAACTTTCCACTGACCTTAAAACAGGAAGATCCACAAAACTGATGTCTGGAGTTAGAGGGAAGAAAACCCCAGGGTGTGGCTGTGCAGACCCATCAGTCACCAAAACAAAGAGGAAATGGCAAAAATGGGGCCACCTGCAGTACGGAAATCCTGATCCCCAATACAGAGCCAGGGACTGCAGGAGTGTTGCTGAATGGATGGCTCTATTCATGTATGATCAGCCTTAATCTCATATTACTTGCTTCTAATTTCCTTCATTCTAATCATAAAACTTTAGACTTGAATGACTGATTGAATGATTTTGAGACACGGTATCATGTAACCAATGCTAGTCTAGTGTATAGATGAAGATGGCCTTCAACTCTTGATTCTCCTTCCTCCAGCTTCTGACTCCTGGGATTACAAGGTATAGCTAAAAATTACCTGTTTGTAAGATATGAGGGATTAGTAACTGAGCTACATCTCCAATCTCAGAATTTAGAATTTAATTTCTAGTAAGGTTTGAGTCCTGCAAAGAAAAAAAAAAGCACAGTATTATTTTAGTTAACACCCGATATGATTCTGAATGATTCTGAAATGAGTGATTTAAGAACAATAAAATTCCTTCCTCGTTTGAAAATTTTCAATCATACTTATAATGATAATTTTCTATGCCTCATAGAGAAATTATAATGATTAATGTGAGTTAAGCAATTGCAAAATAGTACAAAACTCCAAACCTCCAAGGGAAAAAAATATGTTGTGGAAATGTACACCATTAACATCAGTTACATTTATTTGAAGATCACTGAAAACACCTATTCACACTCACCAGGGTGTTACTGGGATTAATTGAGTAATGTTTACACAGCATCAGAACGTGAGGGAAAACACATTTTCCCTTGCTATTTAAAGTGTGTTTCAGAGATGAAAAGGCTGTTTGCAGGTATTTACTGTTTATCCTGAATGCTCAGATAAATTGTTGCTTTATGATCTTCCTCCTACACCACTCATCAGACTATCCTGCCTCTGTGGTTCTCTACATTCTCAGCACAGTAGTCCTCTGCTCGACTTCTGCAAATTGGAAGAAGCTGTAAGATGCATGTGTATTAGAAATGTTATGGGCAGCTCATTATGTAAATAAGCACAGTTTGCTTTTGTCACATTTCCAGTTTTCCTTTGTCAAGATGGTAGACTCTATTTTGTTCTTTTATAGGATTCTTTGTAGAATTACAGAGTCTGACATGTTCTATCCAGGCACCATGTTGGCCCTTTGTGTCCATGACTACTCTTTATAGCATTACAATTTAACCGATTTGCTACTAGGATGCAGGTTGTGAGAAAATAAAATGAAGATTATATCCATGTTTATTTCTTTGTATTTTTATTATTTTTTTATGTTATTTGAAGGCTTTGCCATGACATCTAAATACTTAAAACTTTTAAATGGATTCCAAACGTGAATATTTGCTTTAAAACTTGTGAGAGTACTCTATTTCTTAGCTATGTTGTCTTCTGCGTTACCTGTTTACCACTGTGGTTCAAGTGGATTGCGGCAGGCTGTTCTCAGTTACTATCCCTTTTCTGATTTAATGCATATTCACAGTTGGTGATTGTGTATGGCACAGGGATTACATGATTAGCTGCGTTATCTTTATGGCAATGTGCAGTTAGTTAACTGGTACCAATTGGCCAGGACAGTGTCCAGAATACTATTTAATTAGCATCAAGCTGCCATCTGATTATTTTTTCATGATATCTCTCTCAGTGAAAAGCTTTTAAAACAAGAAAATGATACCTTTACTCCTGCATTGGAAGGATGATTAATAGATTGAAAGTCTCCTATCAGAACTTTCTTTGTCCCCAACAAGTCGATTGAGGTTGTTTTCTTAGCTCTGTCATTTAAGAAATATTTTATTTTCCTTTTTTTTTCTTTTTGGCTATGTTTTGATGATGATGGATGTGAAATTTAGGGAAAGATAAATTTACAGACTAGGAAAAATCATATATAAAATTGAATTGTAAAGATTTAAAATTATCAAAGATCTCAGTAGGTTTAATATGATACGGCAGTACCTAGGGAGGTATCTCCAACAAGCAAGAGGACCTGAGTTTGTTTCCCAGCACCCACATAAAGTGCCGATCTCACAGACATATCAGTAACAGCAACAGCGTGAAGCACTAGGTAGAGACAGGTGGAAGTAGAAATTATTAGCCAGGGAGTCTAACAACTTGATGAACAGTGTTTTCAGTGAGAGACCCTTGAAGAGGAAGACACTCATCATCAACATTTTGTCTCCGGATGCTTATGCCAAGTGTATACCCACCTGTACTTACACATTCACACATGTAGCAGTGTGTTTATATATGTACTCAAATACGCAAAAAGATTAAAAAGAAGAAGGTTCAATAAAATGCAGCTACAATAACAATAACAAGCAAATACCACTGTTTATCTTCTCCAATCCACACATTCAGAAAGTAATCTATTTCTCTATTATGTTTTGAAAAAATACAGACATGCTGATATGAAGTGAATACTCCTCGTGTAATATTCCCATCATACAGTGAAAAGGAAGCATCTTTAGGATGATAGTTGGATTTTAATTCTTGAGATATGAGGTTTTTAGTTTTGTATTCCTTCTTCCAAACTGACAAAATATTTCACAAGTGAGGGAAACACGAAAAGTGTAATGAAAACACAATGCCCAAGATTGCATAAATGCATCTTGTTTTATTTGTTTCTGAATGTTTGAAAGCCACATTATTGGGTTTCTTCATTGTTTTGACAGAGCCATGCTGAAGAGTAACCTATTGATTACTCTATGGTTCTGTTCAATAGAGCTGGAACTGGGAAGCCGGGGGCTGGGAGGCGGTGACTGGAGTTATCAAGTGTGCTTTGTTACCTTGATCAGGTAAAACTTATTTGATTCATTTTGTAATTCTCTTACAGAAACATGTGAATAAGTGTTCACATCTTTAAAACTAGATAAACTACTACACATTAACTGTGGTCTTACCAAAGCACATTTTTTTTGACTGATTAGTTCACCATGAACTGATTTATATTCATGTAAAGTAACAAAACTCTCTATAGTTTACTGTTTTCAATCCAGAGTTTTACTTTATTTTGCTTGTGTATGTGTGTGTGTTATGGGGCAAGGACTTAATAGTGCACATGAACACATATTGTGTGTACATGGAAGCCAGATGTTGACATCAGGCATTGTGCTCATTTACTGTCCACTTTATTTACTGAAGTGTGGTCTCTTGCTAAACCTGGAGCTCATCAATTTGGCTCGCCAGGTTGCACCTGTAGATCCTCTGTCTCCATCATCCAACTACAGGGATTGTGGGAGTTTGTGGGAGTCCAGTTCCAACCTGCTCCCAACTTTAGAAGGGTTCTTTGTTGGAGGAGAGAGAATTGAGGAAATATTAGGTAGAAAGAAAGAGATGATAAGAAAGGCCGAGACACAGGATAGCTTTGGGAGGGCCCTGGATCAATACCCAGCTGCCCAGAGCTTTATTCAAAGGGCTTTTTAACATGCCAAGAGGAGAGGCAAAAGACCTCTGCCTTGCAAGATCAAAGCACACCATACAGCCAACAGTAGACCCTTTCAAACACCTGGTAAACACGCCTATGGCAAAATCATCCCATTATGCAGCCCTGCTGGGTAAAGCAAGCTCAGATTCTCTGACTTTGAGTAAGAGCTCACTAGGAAGCCTCTGTGGGCCACCACAGGGATTAGAGATAGGCCCTCACACTGAGCCAGCATTATGTGAGTGCTGGAGACCTGAACTCTGGCCCTTGTGCCTGTGTGGCAAGCACTTTATCCACTCAACCATATCTCTAGCCCAGAGTTTTGCGTTTTTAAAGCTATAGGCAGAAATGAATATAATATGAACATGAAAGATCTGACAGTATGCTAGCAAAAGGCACAAGAAGGTACATTAGTACAGATCAGCTTTTATTTGAAGAGACTGTATCTGTTTTTATATTTCTATTTTTCAGTCCACTACCAATGTTTATAAACAGTTACTCATGACCCAATGACCGCCAACCAAATACAGCAGTGGTGAGCAGTGCTAGAAAGGAGATCATCTTTTGTTTGATAAATGCAAGGGTGTGAATGCGAACCTAGAAGTCATAGGCAAGGTTGGTAACAAGGAAAAGGAAACATGAAGTCTAAAGTCATTAGGAAATTTAAGCAAATGTTGGAGCATTCATTATACTGAAACTGTCCTATGGAGAATGGTGTACCGAGGGACATGAATTCCATATGATCAAGTGGAGATGTTTTATTCAACATAAATTGTTGGAGGCAGGTAGGTCCGTGTGCTCACAAATAAGCACTATGGGATCCAGGGATGTTAAACTGGGTTGTCTCTTCAAAGGGAAAGATTTATAACCTGTTTTCTGGCCAGAAGGCTAGGAGAAGACATGGTTAACAGCCTGCTGACTTTTGACCTTTGTACTATCTGTGTGCCCAGGCCACACCAGATCCTCCCCAGACATACATATTGAATGTGATTATCTCAGTCAATTTCCAGAACTATCCTCCCCAACGCTTATCTTGAGCCTGTAATCTATAAACTTCATGATTAGAGATGATGTCCTTACACTGTACAAAGAGTTGTAGTGTGGTCGCACTGAAGCTTGGTCTTGCACGCTGGGTTGAGTTAATTATTACCAAAACACTTTTTCCCAGATTATGCTGTGCTTGAATATACCTGAAATAAACTACTCAAGCTCAGACTCCCAAAGGCTGAAGCAACACTGTCTCCTGAGTAGTGCTGAGCTGAACTGCATTCCTACCTATCACAGCTTGTCACTCTGCTGACTGTACTGTCACAGAGACCTCAATGAATAACTCTCTAACTCTGGATTTCTAAATGATTCTACTGTGTGACACAGACATTATTGTCTACAATCCTTGTTCACACAGTTAATCATGTGCTGACTTTCAGTGTGTCTTGATTTACTGTCTTGTGCAGTTATTTAAGTGCTGATCTAGGTTTGTCCCTGATCCATCTAATTTCCTTCCATTGCTGAGAAGCTCCTGAAAATGTGTATTGTTTCTCATATGAATGAAGATGAGTATACTGACAGCTCAGGGGAGACCCCACATTCTCTGACCTGAGAATCACAACTGCATTAACATTACTCATTACAGGTTCTCATGAGCAAAATTGTCACACTGAGGCAGCCTTAAAAAGGCAGACACAATAAAAATGCACTCATTAGCGAAGGGAAAGTACTTTTATTCCAATTGTTGTGCTAGCAGTAAAGTGAAAGTATGCATAAAAAGGCAACCAGTGCAAATGAATAGATAAGCTGTACTGGAAAACCTACATGATCTAAATAATTTAAAATAACTTCTTGATTTCTCAGTTCAGGTAATCCAGAAATAGCTCACTAAACAAAATTGCAAACTAAGAATTATTGGACAACAGTACTTATGAGTCTTCATTTCATGTTGAAAATTAGACTTAACTGTATTTTTGAAGCCTGGACTTTTTTAAATAAATGGAGAGAGAAATATTAATACGAGTTGGGGAATAAATTATCTAGGCTTGACAAATGAAGTCATTGATCAGCTTACATGTTGATATGTTGTACAGAAATTGCAACTTCACATGCTTTCTAATAACTTTTACATTTAAGTATTTGTCTCCACCAGAACTGAAAACTAGAACAAAGCAGGGTATGTACTTGGTTAAGATGCAGCTTAGTAGGTCAGAATTTGCTTCAGAGTGTTGAAGTCTGATATGTGATGGACAGACTGTAAACACAAACAGACATTTGCCTTTCTTTCTCTCTTAAAACACAGAACATTTAAAGAAAAAACCACCAGACTTGGGTAATTTTGCTAATTTCTCTGAGAATGAATTCATAACAGGTCATGATTGGTAAAAAGACTCTTCCCTAAACATCCTGTGGGGAGGATATTTCAAATTTCTGAACACTTACTCAGAACCATGGGAGTATTTACAGATAAACTCTCTCCAAATGAAATCATGCTCTGAGTACTGAGCCTAGAAGTTCAAAACAAATTTAAGGAGAACAATATCTTCCCCATACGGAGAGTAATAAGACAAGTGAGTTTGTACCATTATTGTGTTTGTTATATTATCAATTTGAGGTAAGCCAAACACAGACCTCCAATATGTTTAGTAACGAGGTGGTGACACTGACTTTCAGTGGCGTCTGAATTATATGGCTTGGTTTTAGGGTTTCACCACAGGAGAAAATATCTGAAAAAGCCAACTTAGAGGGATATGTGTTTTGTTTCAGCCCACATTAATGTAGCTTCACTATTTCTGGGTCTGTGGTAAGGAATCAGATCGTGGCCAGGAGAATGGAGTGGGTAGAAGCAGCCCACCCCATAGAGGACAGGAAGCAGAAGGAGAGAAAGATGAGAGAGTAAGAGAGGGGTGTGAGTCTGATCCCTGGAGACTTTGTTCTGCCTCTCGAAGATTATACTACCTTCTGATAGTCCATTTAGCTGTAATTTTTTCTATGGACTGAGCTACTGATGAGGCTAAAGCCCTTATAATCCAATCACTTCCCCAAAGCCCCAACTCTGTTCACTACAGTGTATAGCATTCATCTCCTGCACATTGGATAGATATTTCAGATTGCAATCCTAACAGACTTCCTCATCATTTTCAGAATATTCTGAGAAATGTAAAAGGCAAAAATAAGTAGAACAGTGACTGAGAGTAAATCAATCCCCTAAGTCCACCACGGAGTTAGAGTACCTTCAATGTTGTCCATAAAAGCAAGCTTCACAAATGCACTAAGTCTTAAATAGAGAGATTGTAACAAATCCTTATGTAGCACAAATCTTATAAGGTCTTATTAATAAAAACAAACTCAGGGCCAGGTATTAGGTGAATGCTGAAAGATCGGAGAGACAGAACAAGCCACAGCTACCTCACCTTGGCAGTTCCTCAGCTGATCCTGTTTCCTCAGATTGGAAGCCTCTGAGTCCTCATCCAGAATGAATCTCAGCTGAACTGCTGCTAAAAGCCTAAAAGCTTAACCATCCTAGTTCCTGGTTTTTATGCCTTGTATACCTTTCTGCTTCCTGTCATCACTTCCTGGGATTAAAGACATGTGTCACCATGCCTGGCTGTTTCCAGTGTGACTTTGAACTCAGAGATCCAAATGGATCTCTGCCTCCAGAATGCTAGGATTAAAGGCATGTGTGCCACCATTTTCTGGCCTCTACGTCTATCTAGCAGCTGTTCTGTTCTCTGACCCCAGATAAGTTTATTAAGATGCACAATATATTGGGGAACACAATATCACCACATCCTTATACTGTGTAACTGCTTGGAGTTATTATATCTTCTGCTGGGAACATCATTGCTGTTATAAGAAACTGTGTGTTTTCATTAATCTGCATCTGCTCATTTGTAGTATCATTGGCCAGTAATCTGATTCTTTGGAGAAAATCACATATACAGATGTGCTTCATCATCTGATATGGTTTCTTCCCCTTCTCTCTATTACATGTTTTGTGTTTTAGAAATATTTTTCTACACCCATGTGTTTTAATTATTTATATATGTAACTCATTCATAGCCCAAAGAAATTTTAAAAACTGTTGGCCATGTTATGTTATACAATATTTATAGTTTTTACTCTATAGTTTTGTATTTTGTAGAGTATTGTATATTTTATATCCTCCCTTTTGAGCTGGTAAACTATTTACAAAGAACAAAAGCACTGCAAAGATGCAGAGTAAATTTACATGTACATGTTGACTATACATCTTGTTTTCTATGCTTTGGAATAGTTACTGCAGAAATGGGGAATTATTAAAGAGAAGGCTTCTTGAGAGGAATTATTACACCACTGCATCTCATATAGACAGACACTGCATCTCAAAGTCATATAGATACCACT